TTTATAAATATTTTTGTGCATTCTCATCTTCACATGGTAGCCCCAATTACAGTGAGTTACTGTGTAGTATAGAATGCTATAATAAATGCTTCTCTCTCCACCGAGATTTCTCAATATGAGATCTCTTGACTATACAGGGATGGACAAATGCCAAATACCTAGTCTCTCCTACAACAGATATTTTGTGAATACAGCCTTAATATTATTGTACTCGGGATATATTATTTCATTTAGGTACAGGGAGGGGGGCGCCGTTCTGCTGGGAGCTTTGTTTCCATGCATGACCAGTGAGGGGGGGGGGGGGGTGTAGTGCTATATACAGTGACCTGCTCAGAGCTTCGTCTCCGTGCATGACCAGTGAGGGCGTAGTTCTATGACCTGCTCGGAGCTTTGTTTCCATGCCTGGCCACAGAGGGCATAATTTATAATTTTACATTTGTATCCAAAATATGAGCTTTGTTGATAAATTTTCTAGTGTTCCGTTCTCACTGGTTGGTATGTAGTTGTCACTAATAGTGAACTGTATTTTGAACCCTTGTTGTGTCATAATTTTTTTGTATTTGGAATTCACATTTCCTAATAAGTTAAGATACAAATAACCTATGCAGGCACACAAAATGTAATCAGTACGCTTTAAAAGAGAAAAGATAATGTTGCATGTATCATAATATGGGATAACCTGCTTAACATCTTGTCCATTAAACAGTTTCTGTAACTTATTTAATTTTGGACCAAAATTGTAAAAAAAAATGAAAACAAATGGTGACAAAAAAAAATTGACTTTTACGTTCACGTGGTGAAATGCTGTAGTAACTAATACACAAGGTTTCTACTAACTTTCTTTTTTTTTTTTTTTGATAAGATAATAACGTGCAACAAGTTGTACATTTGTTGATTAGTAGTGTTGGCAAAAGGTGACCATGACATTGCAAAACATGAAATTCTATATCCAGACTACCTGTTCAGCTCAAAGATTGATGAGGAAATGTTAGAAATTGTTTAATAGTACCAAGCCAGGCAGGCATACAAAAGAACTTTTAAAACTTGACACAAACCCTCTGTAATCTGCAGAAATTGTTTTCATGTTGTGTTTGTGTGTGTGTACGCTTGGTGTATGACCTGTCAATATCTCACCTATCACTTTAATTGTATTTCAGTATCATGTTCCTGTTGCTGTGACTCTGGTCAGCTCCGTGGCTGTATCTGGTGCAGATCCCAATGTGAAGGTAAGCATTCTAGACCTACTATTTATAACGTGGGTATTCAATTTCTTTCTTAGTATGTGACAATGGTGCGTATAAAAGTTTGTGGACTACCTAAATAAGTAGTTAAGTGATTTTTCCTAAGCATTTAAACTTTTATTTTTTTATTTCTTATGAAAAGCAGAGCTTATCATATGAGTAATTGCTCGTTGACGTCGGTGTCAACTTTTTACTTTTTTGACTTTTTCGACTTCTTCTTGAAAACTACAAGCCTGAATGCTTTGATACTTTGAGAGGTACTACGTGTGAACCTCTCAGATTTGTACATTTCATGATGATATCTCCAATTCTTTAATTTTGATGAATATTTGTCATTTTTGGTAAAAAGTGGTATTTCAGCTGAGAGGCTGCTTGTTTTTACAAAAATTATAAAGAGGGCCCTCTAGAGTTCATTCACAGGTAAGGACTTGACTTGTATACTGCCCTCTGTAGTTGAGGATATACTTTACATTGAATGATTGAGACGCACTCAAAAAGAAATATTGTAACTTTATGAAATAATACAAGATAAGTCTCTAATTGACTGATCCACAATTCATCAGGCTTTTTTATTGTTCAATTCAACATTTGAGTATTCACTTACTGACAGGGTTTGGGTGAGGAGGTGGCTCCAGACAACCAATCACCAACTTTTTTTTTGTGTACCAATTTGCATTTTCACAGATTCTGTAAATAATCAAATAATAAACTATCATTATTTTATGCAAATTATATAAAAAAAAAAAAATAGGCAATGTGTCCAGCTTTTCCAGTCCAGTCTTAATTTCTTTTGTAATAAATCTAAGATAATCATGAATTAAAACTTCGATCCTGCTCAATATTTCCAGTACCATTAGCATTATAGCATTTAGCCTTGAAAACTATTTTGAAAGGTCTAACTGGAATCAATCAAGCAACTTTCCAATTGATTTATGATTGGTGTTTGAGAGTAACTGGCAAAGCTGACATTACAAATTTTCATGATTTGATTATTTTTACCCTTTGAGCAGCAAAGTTAAATATAAGATAAACCTGCATAATTTATTTATACAATTTTATCAATGCCTAGAAAAGGATGTTCCTTTGTTCAAAAATCTACAACTAAGTTAAAAAATGCATAAAAAGGTGCAAAATGCCTGATCAAAATTTTGGTGGGGAAAATGTGAAAAGTGGACCCCCTGCATAATTAAAGATTTTTAAAAACAAAATTCGATCAAAACCTGAACCAATAAAGAAATCGTTTATCAGGTCAAAAATTGACAAATAAGTAGGAAACAAATTTTGTCAGTAAGAATTTGGTGCTCATAGACCCTGTGAAGTGTTCACAGCTACAAAATGTGAGAAAATTTGGTGGCCATTTTGTTTTTAATGAATGCTGTTTTTTGGAGCCGTATTGATGGACTGATGTTACACATTTGATTATGAATCCTTTTCAGAATCTGAATCAAAATCTGATTCAAAATGGCTGATTGTCATTTTCATGGGCAGAATGAAGCAAAGAATTGCACAAATAAACTGGCTCCTATTTGAGTTTTAGTGATTATTCGTCACTAATGTTGCCAGTCACTGAAAAGTGGACGGGGACTTGTCATTGGCAATGACTTGTTTATTCTATTATGAAAACGCAATAATAATTTTTAAATACAAAAAAAAGCATGTTGTATCATCTCAAAATTACTAATTGTATTTAAAGAAAAATACATGAAATTAAAAGGGAATGTTTCAGATGATCCAATTTTGCTGAGAATCTGATTTCTCAGGAATAATGTCACTTGCATTCTCTCTTAAGAGAAGGCTTACATAGCCCAGGGCACTGACCCTCTTGTTGTTCAGAGTTGTCCTTGGGGAAGAAATTTTTCTGCCTAGGGAATATAGAACAACGCAAGTAAGATGCATGATTGATGGTAAAACTCAGCCAGCTTGCAAACAGTTTGGTATGCGCTAATTTATGGACCATTGTGAACTGTGCTTTGAGAAAAACGAAAGACAGTTTCGGTTGATTCAATTAGTTCGCTGCTGTTGCATATGGCACAAGGAATAGAGCACTTATGCAGCTGGTATTTTCGTTGACAATTAAATTTATCACCTTGTGTGGAGAAAAAAAAGAGTAAATTAGAAAATGAACATGTCCATACTCTCTTATATAAAGATCCATCAAATGTAGTGCCCTCTGAAAGGATCGAGTCATGCGTCTCTTTACTGCAAAAACTGCCCCATAAGTATTAACCATGTATGAACAAGAACAGCTGGACGTTTGTCATTTGCCGATCGGGAAAAGTCAAATAGGGATTTATCACTTGAAAAATTATTTAATTTGGTTTGAGATAAATCAGTGCGTTTGCTTTTATACTACCTGACAGTTTTCTTAGATGTTAAATTGTCTATTTTGTAAATATTAAAATATAGTAACTTGAAGGAATTCGACCAAAGTGCTCGTGTGTAAAGCATTCCTTTTTAGCTGACTACCCAAGTCATGCATTGCTGGTGAATGTGTTACCAATATCGTGTGAATGAAAGGTAATCTATGAAAGTGCTACTTGAAGTACAAGTGTGCCACTTAAATATAAATGAACTCATTGTCATAGTGCGAGATCAGATGACCACCAATTTGACTTGTTTATGACCCCAAAGGTCACACATCCTGGTAATTCTGGGGGTTTTGTTGCTCTCTAGCTGAAATAATTTTTGCCATGTGTATAATAATATTTTTAAATTTTACAATGACAACTCCTTCTTTTTTTTAGACTGTAATTGAGAATTTTTTTTTTTTTTAAACAAAAATGTGAATGAGACTGACTTCAAATGTTGGAATATACTGCATTTCTAATCTATTATCATTATTTGAGGCAAAAATCTTGTTTTGAAAAGTCTAAATTTGAACACTGTCACTGCAAGATGTGAATGATTAATTGAATAATTACATGCCTTCTACACGACATGTGCTCTTAAATTGAAAAAGGTCTAACATTTTATGAGCTTCACATGTAGGAGCCCTGAATGGAAGTAACAGCGAAATGTTGTATCGTCTATTTCTAGCATTCTGACAACACGAGTATTCAGTTAAAGACTAAGTAGTGATAAACACCTCAACACACTTGCCTTGTTGCGCGTTCTTCTCTAGGCTCTATAAGTTCACATCCTACCCTGGAGCACCCCCCCCCCCCCCAAATCATTTCAATTGCTAAAACTGAAGTATTGAAACTGGGGGTGGCTTTGGCTAATGTAGATTGCAAATTCTTGTGACAGACTCTCGTCTGACTCTGGCTACATGTAGAGTGAATTATTTAAGATGTGATTTTCTGTGGAATAAAATATTTGGGTATATTGCAGTTACTATTTTCTCACATCAAAAATTCCAATTGAACTTAAGTCAGTATGTTTTACACTAGCCCGTTTTAAATTTTAGAATTAAATTGTCTAAACTTTTGGTTTTACAACCCCAGATTATCGATCCCAGTGTCAAAACAAGTACATGTGTCATCACCTGGAAATATAATACACATAATTGATGAGTGAAGTGTAGTGCTGTCTATTTCTTTAGGCTAAACAACACCATGGTTAATCAGTTCTACGCTGTGAGGTGATATTCTGTATTAGGTCTGCCTGCTCTTCACTTGAAATGTCTAATATTGTGGATTCTTATTAACAAGTGCTTCTGTTCAACACAAAGCCTGACTGCTTTCCAATGTTCTGTCATAAGTGAGCATTCTGTTTTCACTGCAAGTGGGAGCTACCGTATATATACTTAAGATTACGGTATATTTTTATCAGGAATGCCATACTGCAGTAAGCATCTGGTGAGCAAACAGTGTTCGTCACATTTTGCTCAGCGAATCAACGAATAAACTGAACCATTGACGATTTATATTTAAATGAGTTTTTCAAAACATGGTATGGTAAATTTACTGCAGCAACTACAACATAAAACGTGAGAAACCACTGCATGTCACGTTGTTAATAATTCACTGACAGATACTTGATACACAATTATCATACAGTGACATGGTAATTTGTGCTTTGGTGAAATGTAATTAGATTTACGAACAAAATTAGTGAAAAAAAACAAAGAAATAGTGTCACAATAGTTTACTTTCATAAACTTTCTTACAATCACATAAAATGTATTTTCCTTGAATAACTTTCCAGAAGTTGCCAACTTAATTTTATTAAATTTCAATTTTGACCCAAGCCCTCCCCCCCCCCCATCATAAAATTGTCACCATAGAAACTACGTTTCTACTATTTTTTGATTATACTCGCAAAATCTTTCACATTTTTTAGATGAAACTTATCATACATTATTACATTTTATGCACTCTTTGAATCAACATATCACTCAGAATGGACAAATGACAATCAATCATCTTTCGCAGTTCTTATAGGAAATTAAATGCTTCAGATTTTGGCAAAAATGACCATTCATTCGCTAATCATGTTACTGATTCTAAATTTTGTTGTTTTCATGTTTATAAAGCAAGTGCTATGTTCTTGTAGAGTTTTATGATTTGCATAATCATGATATTAGTCCAAGACGATATTTCACTAAAACCACGACTGTACCCAACTGTTGGGCTACATCAGCCATTGGGATACTTGTATCTATTCAGAACTACTGTAAAATATTTTATTGTACAACAAGCGATTCTAAACACTTTCAGACAATCACATGTGCATGACAAATGGAAATGGTCACGATTGATCTGTTATTTGGAACTCTACGACTGTACTGTATTCACTCTATTAGAAGCACACCTCTAAAACAAGCACATGAAAACAAAAGGCTAATCATGTTTCAAAGGTGTAACACAAGTCATTAAATTTTTTATTTCTCCATTATGAATTAATTTTTTGAAAAAAACCTGTCTGAAAACATGCAGAAATGGGCTGTCATCGTAGATGACAGAATGGGGCTGATCATATAGGTGATTGTTTGGTGTTGGTCAACAATTGCATTTTTAACTTCTTTAAAAATATCAGCCTTATTACTTTGATACTTGGTATGTAGGTTCAACACAACACCTTGGGTGGACCTCTGTCAGATTAGTTCAGTTTATCATGTCTTCAATTCTGTATTTTTGGCGAATATTTTTGTAATTTTTTTTCAACTTCTTGAAAATTACCAATCCAATTGCTTTGATATTTGAGGTGTATATTATTATTGTGAACAATTTGTTTCAAGTTGAGTTGACATGTTCTCAACAGCCAGAACCCAACTACTTTTTTGTGGGGTAACCATGTTTTGTCTTTTGGGTGTGCATTGCCTGACATGACTTGCCACAATGTTCTTGTAGGAAAGTGGAGCTGTTTCTACCGTCGCGCATTATTTCATAAAAAATAAATGGCATCTCTCTGAATTTCCCAAAAATTTGGCATACACAAGTACCACATGTACCTGAACAAGAAGTTTTGCGATTAGTTTTAATGTTGGCCTTTATAATTGATGCTGATAGATTCATAGACAGACCACATATCTCATAGCACTTATTTTGAATATTTCTTGTTTATACAGGTGAAAGTAACCAACTTGATGCAAGGATCTCTTGGCAAACTGTCTGTGACTGCTAACTCGGCAACACACATGGAGGATGATGCTGTCATTCTAAGCAAGAAACCTTTCACAGCTTCTAGTACAGACCCGTAAGTTGTAGCTTTATCTAGTGAGAAACTCTCATTTACTATATTTATTAACCTGTTAAAGGCAAGAAAGTGCTTGAAAACTTCAAATCTGGTATTTGCATTTTGAACTTTTAGAAATTTAAGGAAATTTAATTGCTAACAGTAAATACAATCAAATTAAAAATGAAATATTTCCACTGCAGCAGTCATTAACCCAGAATTGATTGCTATGTCAGTTGAAGACTTTGCCGCATCAAAGTTGAGAAATTTGTGTATGCGCAGACTCAAGACACTATAAAGACACTATAAAAGCTAAGAAAAACACGAACTGATGACAATGAATTAACAGTTTTCTTGAACAAAGTTTATTATTTTGGTACAAGTTGCACTAAATTTGAAGCAGGTAATTTTCTAACACTGCACTGTTCATGCTGGTAAAAAAAAATTATCCCTCATAGTTGTTGAAAAATGTTTTTTTTTTTTGAAATGTTCACAAAATCACAACTTTGAACAAAAATAATGCTTGTTTTATTTTCTAAATATAAAATAATGATGCCAAGTTCATTTACTAAAGTCAACAATTTTCCAGATATGTGCTTTTTTTCCAAAAACATTGATTTCCTTATTGCAGCCTTGCTAAAAAGAAACACTTGTGGGTAAAACTCCCAAAATAGTAACAATATCCTGGGTCACAACGTGTGAAAGTGTATATAAAAGATGCATGATTGTCTTGCATAAAAGGTGCCAATGAAATACTATAACTGAAAAGTGATATGCCAAGCATCAAAGCATTGAAAGAGTGAATTCATGAGTAGGTCAATTACACTGTGATATAAATATCAAGCGTATCATTGTCCTACATGTGTGCAGTATCTGTAGTCAAATTGATGAGAACTGAACTCTGAAAACCAAATTCTGCACTGAAAGCAGATGTTTTGCTGTACTTATGAGAGTTGAATTCTTTCTTTCTGTAAAGGTTGCATTGGATATTGGGACATAAAAAACCTGGTTATGACAGGAATAAGTTAATTTTTTATAAATAATCAGACTTGAACCTAATAAAGCTGTAATCATGTACACTGCCACAAGCAATGTAGAAGGGATAATATCCATGGGTTTTTCTAGAAAAAATGAACAAGAGGGAGCACACACAGGCGATCGACCTGGAAACGTCATATCAGAAGGTTGTCATTTTACTGGTGTATCTATCTCCATTGAAATATTTTTGTAGTAGTAATTTTAGTGTATTTTATGTCCATGTCAGATACCTTGTCAGCTGGTGTTGCTGGCAAGTTTTCACGGAGAAAAATATATTAGAAAGAATTCATGTTGTATGGCAGCACGCCACTCACGAAAGATTTCATGTTGTATGGCAGCACGCCACTCACGAAAGATTTCATGTTGTATGGCAGCACGCCACTGAAGAACTATATTTGATTTGAAAGCTCAATTGGCAATTCGATAAGAGAGCACCAGCCGCGAGTATCGGGGTGCTGCGCCCCTGTTCCCTGGTTTAGAAAAAAAACATATCTGTATTTTTCAAAATGCACCACAGAAATTGCCTTCAAGCTCTGAAATAGTTTTGTGACAACTATTGTCATGCTAAAATCTTTATTATATACTAAGAAATGAAAATAAAACAAATCCTGGATATTTTCGTTTTCCTGGGTAGTCGTCCAGTCTACTGTGTGTATAGATTGGGATGAAGACTTGACCATTGAAATCGTGTTGCTACCAGCAACAGGTGTTTATCTACTGTCCTGTGTGTACAATACGTCGCATACAGCGGATGTTATCACGTCTTTTAAGCTGTCATCTCATAAATCAATCTATCACAATCTTTTATTTTTGGGTAGTACAAACATTTACTAATCTAATGTGGATAATCTACATAAATTCAGCATGTGTACGAGAGCTAGACTTCTTGCTGCAGGGTTAAAATTAGTCTATCTTAATGATTAGTTTCCAGATGCTTATCCATGAATGACTGGGTAAACAGGCCAGTAGCATTAATTGGAGTTGAAACTATACTCGGCTTTACTTTTTTTTAAAGCGGTTTCCATGATAACTTTGGTTTGTGTTAAAAAAAATATTTGGAGGCTTATAAGTAGGATTGAGAATAAGACAAAGTGTCAACTTTATGAACAATGTTGCAAAGAAACGTTAGACTTTCTGGTTGAACCGTTTTCATTGGCTTATGCTTCACTGTATATAATTGATATATGTGACTATGAATATTACAGCAGTAATGCCATAATTATCGTAATAACCTACCTATGTGTGGAGATCTTATCCATGAAAGATGAAAATACCCAAACCACAAATATTCTGCCAATAAGCAAGGTTTATTTTGTGACTTTGTGGCAACGTGACATTGGTCTTTAACATTGTTTAGTATTGTCTTCTACCATTTCTTCTGCAACTTTTTTCTTCAAACTTTCAAATAGCCTGTCACTAGTAATATCATTTACCAAATTTAAGAAAATTCCTGTGCAAAAAGTTTATCTTTAATGTGTTCCTCTGGCACCTGTAGGATGTCAGTAGAGAGTTGCAACATGTCATAACCTGGTAGTCAGTGTTTACAAGCATTGCACCAGGTCTGGCGCATGTCTACGTGTGAACCATTATACTTTTAATTTGTTGGGCATCCGATGCTATTAATTCTATAAATTACTAGTTAAAAGTTTTCAGTTCACTTCTATTGTTATCGACCATTTTTAATTACAGAGCCTATTTTGGGCCATGGAGGCGTGGCAGATGCAATTTGGGTAAAAAGAAAAAAACTTTACATCATGCCCTGCTGACGCCCTACCGAAGTGATCATTTTCAATACATGATGATTACAGCATCCTCGACTACATGATTTCTTTGTACAGTGGTAATTATTTCTTGGTACTCTATTGAGGAAATGAAATAAATCAATGTTGTTCACTATTTGTGCACAGACAGAGAGAACATTAAGGATATACAATAGTTCCACTTGATTTAATTTATTGCTCTCAAGGTTTTACGAACACGTGCTACTTTTGGCAACAAATCAATGTCATTCTTTTGTGTCTTACAGCAAGAAATAAGCCCAAAGGGGAAAAAATCAATGAAGTCCACTCAGTTGATATACGTCTTGTAACATATCTAAATTTTCCCTATTTCTTTTCATGAAAAATGTGGAGGGGTGACTACGAAAAGAATGTGTTAAAGTCAAGGAAAGATGTTCAATTTCTCATTTCTCGCACGCCTGTCAAAAAAACATGTGCCAAAATCCATCAAGATAAAACAAAGTTGGCTTTTCAATATTTCATATCAACCCTTAATCCTGACAGAATAATGAGCAATACCTTAAAAACTAACTTACTTTTGTATGTTAAATGTATTGTTTAGATATGTTTCTACCACTATTTTTAGTGTTAAACCGTAGTTCCAAGAAGAAAAATCTAAAATGGACTAAACTTTGGAAAACCAAAAACATTTAGTACCTAAAATTCCAAAAATGTTTAAGTTGTTTTCACTGGTACAATAATATACAGAAACGTGAATATTAAATGCTGTTATGATGAGCTCATTGTTTGGTTTCTTTTTGGTCACAATTGTTTACACCAAAATTTTAGCCAAAATTTTGTTTAGATGTATTGTTTGCTGAACTTTCGCCGTGTCGGGAAGGCGACAGATACATAGTTTGTATCCATTCTTGAATGGAATTCTCATTGGTTATGAAATGTTGAGATTCTTAAGGAGCCTGGTTGTATTACCATTTATAATGAAATGTTTATTTTATAGAAGCACATGGATATTTTTTTTATTTATTTGGTGGAGACTGGGCATACACCACAACTCTTGTAATCTTTCAGATCAGTGTTTCTGCTAAGTTTCAATGGCATATTTAGTTAAGCTTAATCTCAAATGTTTAAAAAAAATTATCTATCGGTAAATAAATAAAAAAAATGGAATGCCAGTAATTCTAAATCTTCTGTGATTTTGAATTGTGCTAAATTCACTGTACATCTATGATTTGTTGACTGCTGGATACAGGTTACCATTGGAATTTTAATACTTGGCATTGTTTGTGTTACAACTTTGTAAATTGTAAAATTAGTTCAAAGCTACAAAGTTAGGGGATGGTAATTAGGTCAAAGCTACAAAGTGGTTTGCAATGAGTGTACATATGGCGAGTTCTAACTGAAATTTTCACACACAAAAAAAAAAAAGCCAAAGTCTAAAAGCACCAAGTATTTTCAATCATAATCTAAAAAACGAAAATCATTGCCACGTTTTCTTTCTTTGTCATAACATACTAACAACAATATCGTCCTGTGTGGAGCCATTTTGCTAATGTTTGCCTCAAGCTAGGGTGACATCTTCATGACCTGGCGAATTTCACCCCTTTGACTCCCTAGGTCACTCTTTTCAAAGCAACCATGGCTGATGCTGTTGTCACAATCTTTTGAGTTTTAGTTTGACGCAGTAAAAAGAATGCTTTTTGACAGATTAAGTATCAACTGGTTTAATTGGCAATCTAAACATTAGAATCATGGGTGCGATTTGCATACAAGATATTTTTAGTCTCAGAAAACAAACTTGTGGATTGATCTCTGTGCGTCCATGTGTGCTTCACTCCTACCATCCATATCTCGCTGTATCTCGCACATGATTGGACCGATAAAGTTCAACCTTGTATATACATTATATAGGACATGTGCACATGCATTTATTTATGGTTTTCTAAAATACCAAATAGGAGCCATTATAGGCCAAAAATGTATCAAAATTACACATTTTTGAAACCAGAGCTCAGTTGCACATGGATGGATTATGTTAAAACTTGGTACATAAATAGGGTTTCAAATGGCGGCCATTTTGTTTCAAAAAATGCAGTTCCAGGTCACATCTGACATGCTCGTACTGAACAAGTTCAAAATTGGTCATATCTGCCAAATGTGTATGCATTTTTTTCACCAAATTCGTAATGCTTGAGTGTCATTTTTAGATCTTTCTTTTCTGAGTATGTACTGCAAACAGTTGTGCTATATCAGCTGAGAAGCTCCTTGTCACATTCTGGAATGTTAAAACACAAGTTGTTACCATAGTCGGGCCTTTGTTACTTGAGTAAGTGTATACGCTAGTAATGAAACAAATATTAATGTGAAATTGAATTTATAAATCACTTAAAACATGTATATTTTTATTTTTCAGATCTCTGTACGAGTTGAATTTGATGCAAACCAAACCCGCACCAGGCTTCTATACCATTGAAGTAAATGTTACTCCAAGCAAAGAAGATAAAAGATTAATTGGAACTGAGGGGTCAGAGGTCAAGGTTAAGGTGACCACAGAAGTGACTGTGGTGAACTCTGAGATGGCTGTGATGGATAGAGACCAGTCTATTGCCTCTAAGAGTGTTAAGTAAGTCGAGAATTGTTGGGATATTGTAGTAGTAATGAATTATCAGCAGGAAGCTTATGTATTTGATTTGCATACATATCATTCTGTTCCAAGATGCACAAGTTGCATAGCTCAGAGGAACATGGAGCGTGATCAATGAGAAAGAATTGAATACTATTTGTAAGAAAAATTTATTATGTAGTTGTTCCTCTTCCTCTTTCTCTCAACTTTCAGTAGCAAATTGTGTTGGTGTATTGCCGTTCTGGTTGTAATAATATACACCTGTAAAATGTAAACATGCATTTTCATTGTCACACAATGCCGCTTGTATATATTGCATTTATTTGAGGTCAATGCCTTTTTAAATGGCGGATGACCAAATTAAGTGTGAATCAACTAGTTCTATTCAAGGGCTCTTCCCTTTTGTTGGTGTGCTTCATAACAAATATGTGATAACTGACATGCCCAGATGTTAAGGTAATAATGGTTTCAATATGTTCATCGTTTTTTGATTGACAGGGTGAATTATCCAGGAAAAGTTGACAGAGTTGTAGAAGCAGATCACCATCAGTTGATTGTGTTCAAGTTTGCTTTGAAGGATAAAGCAACCAGCAAAATTATGACTGCACATCAGGTGAGACAACATGAACTTTATCTGTAGGTTGTCAGAAATATTGTTTTGTATTCCAGCTTTGATTTTTCTGTGCAAGTCTTGATCTGTTTAGAACTAGTTGGGTCAAACCAACATCAAATGAGATGTCAACTAATACTGAGGGACACAATATCAATAGAAGATCCATTCCATTTTATTTCATTTCATTTATATTAATTGCTATGTCGTATAAATTGCTTTTTTCAGACTTTTGTTCAACTGGTGAATGTTAAGACCAAGCAAGAGATCATTTTTATTGCGGAGGCTGATGACAATGATGTATATAGATTTGAGTTAGATGTTGCCGAAAGTGCTAAAGAACACTTCAATTCTCTCTCTGGCAAATACACAATGTCGATGATTATTGGTGATGCAGTTGTACAGAATCCATTCGTTTGGGTTGTGGTAAGTCACTACTGGATACTCCATTATAGATGACTTTTGAGCCATCAAGTCAGTCACTGAACATATTCAGCATTGATTTCAAGATAGGAAAGGCATCGTTTCGAGCCACCTAGTTGCTATGATACAAGAGTTGCATCTGAAAACAATTGTCTGGATTTTAAGTGATCATTTTGTTGCTTTATTCGCAGGCTGACTTGCAGTTGAAATTCCCTGAAACAGCAGACGGTGATAATAAACAAGAAGTTGTCAATCAGTATGCTAAGAAACCAGAAATACAACATGAATTCAATAAACCAGAGAAGCGCCCACCATTGATGCTGTCAAATTTCTTCGCTGCATTGTGCGTTTTACCTTTCTTGGTACTTATAATTCTGGTAAGGCTTGTTCTGATATATTTGTAATAAGTTTCCTTAGAACTGCCTGCTAATACTGGCCATGTGGTTTCTAAATGTCAAAGTAATCAAAGGCAATGTTATCACAGAGATAAACTTGCGGTTTCTACATCGCACATTTTCAATAATTTTGTTGTGCAAGGCGACGGTTCTGGTCATTGAATGTCACTATTGTCTCTCCTGACTTTTTTGTTTGTGTGTGTAAATTGCTAGTGCTGACACATAGTGCATTTTTGCCACAAAAGGCACATTCATGTTTGGGACTACATGACAGGGCTGTTTGGTCATCTCTCTGTCAAATAGCATTTTTAATGCGCTATCCTGGTGTTAACCAGGCCTGGTCGAACACAAGCTTCATCAGACCTTAACAAAGATTCCCTCAAAGTCGCATTCATTAGTGAATGAAACTCGGCCATTGTCAATCTTACCCCATCTGTGATTGTCAGAATGTACTAACAGTACTGTAATTCATTATTTCTTTACAGTGGATACGAATTGGTGCCAATTTGAAGAACTTCACATTCTCATTGGGTACAATTGGGTTTCATGTAGGCCTAGGTGGTAAGTTCCTTTAGTTATACATTAGTTGATCACATCAAACCTTATTATAGGCATTTTGAATTAAAATAGAAGTATGCCCTCTATAGTGAGAAAGACAGCCCTGTTGACTTAAATGTCACATTTCTATGTCAATAGGTTTCATTAAACCATTTAAATGCTGTATTTTTCCACCAACTTGTATGCAGGCTATTTTGTGAAAAAATTACATGTTTAGTGTTTATAAGCTAGTTAGTTTTCTGTTGCTTATGGGTTAAGACATTACTGGATTTTTTAATCTAAATTATTATTTTTATTACGGTACATAAAAGAAACCTCTCATGTAAGTTTTCTAAAATCGTTTAATTAATGCATTTTAACTCTTCACGTGGTAGCCTAGATTAATGAGTTACTGTGTAGTATAGAATGCTATAATAAATGCTTCTCTCTCCACCGAGATTTCTCAATATGAGATCTCTTGACTATATAGAGAAGAACAACGTAAAATTAGAAGGGGGTTTGAGTGAATAGTATTTAAAAAAGCCATCAACGACATCTATAGAACATCCGGACCGACAAATGTGATATTACATTTGGTGTATTGTCTCTTCAGTCATTATGGGAATGTTTTGAGACGATATTTATAGGTAGTAAACTCGGGTATTTGGTAGTTGTTATAAGAAAAATTAGTATATTTGTGGGAGATGATATCTGAGCTTAAGTGATCACTGAACAGTGCTTGGTTGTGCGATCTCTATTAAAGTTAGATATTTAAACCAGTTTATTCAGGTTCAGGGCAGGATCACAAGTCTTCTAGTACTTGATATAAGACATTGCTGCATCCAATCAGATGGCTAGATTCAGATTAACAGTGTTATAATGTTCTAAGACAAGTTGCATCTCACTTGAACAAAATCTAGGAAGATGCTAATTATGTTTTTGATTATGTAGTATAACATTTCGGTTTTGAAAAATGTTATGTATTAAATAATGGCTCAGATATGATGAAGCAATATTTGAGAGAAACACTTGTCCCCATATCTAGAATTTGACTCTTACACCTTGTCTGCAGGTGATGTTAACAACAATCTGCATAAAGGGTTAACAAACATGCCACATGGGACAATAATCAATACAAATGTGACTGAATTAAATTTTATGTTTTTTCAGGCATCTTTGGGCTGTACTACTGCTATTTCCTCTACCTTGATATGTTTTCTACACTGAAATATCTCACTCTCATTGGAGTGGTCACATTCTTAGCTGGTAATAGGATGCTGGGTGCAATCGCAAAGAAAAGGTAAGTTTATTTCAATTGTTTTCAGCTATCAACGTAACCATGGGGACAAGAATATTACTTAATATAATGATTGATTCCCCTTCCATGACGTTGGATATTAAATTGAACCGTTTGGATCATTTGCATTTGACAAATTGTCAATTGTTTTGGATTATCTGGTTTACATTTATGTGAGATGTACTGGAGATTATTTCTGAATGACAGACTTGTTTAACTTTATACTCAAATGCGTCTGCTTATAATTTTCATATTTTGATGACAATTGTTTGCTGTGCAACTGTCACTGAAATTTGCAAAAATGACTATTTTGTGAAAATAATGTGTATGGAGAGGGAGGGACACACATTACATACAATGAAACAATGACTGTTATAGGAACAAACTGCAACATGTTATTGTTTTCTTGCGGTAATATTTTTTTGTAATGTCATTTCTTGCAGAGCTTAAATGTACATTTCCCAGAAAAGTTGTATTATGTATGGTGGTCTTTGAGTGAAATAAAGTAAATATTGGCACACGTCTGGATGCAGGCGCAAACAAGTTGGTAAATGGTAACCGAGATGAGTCGTCCTTGAACACGAAAACTAGATTTCCAGTATCATTTACCAACTATAGTAACTTTAAAAAAAATAAACGCAACACAAAGTGTATGTATGAAATTGATGTACAAGGTTCAGTGCAAATTCTGATGTATTTTTTAAAAATTGTTCTTTTGTACTGGGAATGGCTCGGAACCCGGGCTAAAATAAAATACTATACCACCTTTAGTCATTGTATTGTGTCAACTGAACAATTTGTGTCGTTAGGACCTGCAGTCCATTTAGTCTCCAAAACAAATGCATAGAATATGAGTCTTGGTGATTAAAAATTCACATACAAAACTGTTAATATTCTGGGGGGTTGTTTCAAAGTCCATATTCACCAAACAAGCAACTGTGATGGCCTAAATAGCTGCGCTGTTTCAGCAGAGCCATGCAATAAGGGCATGCATACACATGAGGAGAAATCAACCAAGTGTTCTTATGTCACAAAAGGAACTACTGTAATCTAATAGAGGTCCACCACAGGTACACCTAAAAATTACTTGCATGTACAGTTCTACTCTCATCTTCGATGACAGAACTAAAAAAAGTCAGTATTGTAATGTCTATGGGTTTTAGTGATTGTTTTGTTAGCAAACAAAATTATGGTGAACGGCTGTATTCCCATAGTGCATCTCAATTGCACATGTAGGATTCTGTTATGCATGAAATTAGATGTAAAAACGGGTCGTACAGTTAGGTGGGACAAACTTTTTTGGGGGGGTGGTTCATGCTTAATACACATGGTGAGATTCACACGATTTCAGCACCATAAAAAAAATTTAAGCTTCAAAATCAATTCAATTTTTGCAGAAGATCTGTGGGCACGCTCATCAGGCAGGTTATGAAAACAAAATTCCTGATTTATACGATAGTCTTCAACTGTTTGAAGTGGAATTGTACACAATTTTAATAATGAGGATACTGCAAAGTATGCACGACGACAGTATTGGCAGAGATGTAATTGCCTTATTATACATCATGGGAATGCCGAAATCCATACCTTTTAGAACAGATTTTTAGGGCCGCTGTCGACAATGCACAGCCTGTCTTTTTCAAAATCGTTAAACCAAATGTGTTCATATTTGCAACAGATTCTTGGGATAGTCCTTTCAGATTTGTTTATTTCCTGATGACATCTTCAATTCTCTAGTTTTTGGTACAAAGTAATATTTTCAAATTCTTGTTTATTGATAGAGGACGCTTAAACGTGTAACCATTCCTAATAGGTTAGGATGAAAATACCCAGTGCAATTATGCAAAATACGCTGTAACTGTGGTGTTACAGATGTATAATAATTAGTTTTATCTACCTTTTGTTTGAGATGCAAGTGATTTCTATTGCACAATGCAATCAGACAACGTATAATACAGAGGTGGGTGGAAAGTGGTCCAGAGAAACATGCACTAGTGATTCAGAAATATCAGCAAACTTGGTTAGTCCATGACTATAATTGGAGCAAGTCTTTATGATAAAAAACGGAAGTGCAAAACTGGGTAGTATCGTAAAGATTAATTTAATAGGTAACTCAAGGTATATAAAATCAACTTGTGGAATCTGACGTGTCTTTGGTCGAGTCTCTTAATGTGTTTAATTCTGCCACCCAAGTCTTCACCAGTGGATGCTGGAATTTACCTGAAATGAGGGTATAGAAAGAAAATGGAATTTCTTGCATTCATGAAATAATTTAAACTTGTCAATTAAGATAATTTAGTGAAGCAAGTGAGTGGAAATGTTTCAACTCAACTTAATAGGATAGGAGGCTATCCCATAATGCACCATATCTGAGGCTTCAATCATAGTGTACTGTGAATGCATTAATTATTCAGAGTTTTAATTTCGCTAGTTAAAATCCACTAAACTAAATATACATGAACATGTAAAATACCATTAAGAACACAGTGAATATGCTCAAAACATCAATAGTGATATTAAAGTACATGTAGTTACCTTTTGTGGCATCAAAAAATTCTTGAAGTTCACCATATCGTGCATTTTGTTGTTCGTATTCATGAGCTTGGAGAATCATTTCAAATCTGTCTAAATCTTTTACAAAATGTGCTTCTTTACTGGATTGGTATTCATATTCCTATAAAAATGATAACAAACAGCCTGTTGACAAAAATATTCACTAAATAAATCTGTCTACTGGTACATATAAAGTATCAAAGCAATTGGAATGGCCATTTTAAATAATGGAACAAATCTGACAGAGGTCCATTCACGGTACCTACATATCAAAGCAACTGAGCTAGTAGTTTTCATGGAACGGTGAACAATGAACAGTTTTTACTAAAATAAGAGAACTGAAATAAACCTGGCTTAGTGCCAACCCCTACTTTTATGTGCTGTTAAACATCCATTCCTTCCGAAATGCTCATAAAACCTATTATGCAAACTCATAAACCATGGTAACTGTGTGCAAACTAGGCTTTATAATGACCTGTTATTAACCGTGAAAGGCAATAAATACTTCATTCCATATTCAGTTTACCATTCAAAAATTGCTAATTATTTTTTTTTTAAATCATGCCATTTTGTGCTGAAATCAATTCCAACAGATCGTACAACCACATTGTGTTACCTTACAACATCACGGTGGAAGTTGCTTTGCACTGGGAATTTGTGTATGCTTGAACACATTGGACAACAAATATGATATACTTTAGGTACAATTTCAGTGCCATGCTAATTAACATATAGGTCAATACAAGGCATGGTCCAATGGTCACCTAAGCCAGGCCACCATGTTCAAGTTCAGGTCAAAAGTCTAAGTAGTACACAATTTACACAGAATAATATGATAGGCATGTACTATAGTCTACCACAAAGTTGAGATAACTACATAAGATCATGCAAGTTTCCAATGAGCACCAAGTTTACATAACTGCATAGAGGTACACTGTCTGGGGGGTCACAATGCAATAATGTTTATACATGGCTATATGCAAATTCACACAATGCAAAAGTTCAGGTAAGCAGGAACAATTTGTCCATGACAGAGGTCAAGTACTCCAGAGTATTGGGAAAGTTACGGTCTTAAAGGTCAAGTAAATCCGCAATGACAGTCGATCTAATGTCTGTAGCTTACAATAATATACACATACCTCCCACAGATTATATAGCTCATTTCCTTGATCTAGACTAACTAGTCCTGACAATCTTTCCATTGCTTCCTGGAACAATACAAATGTCATAGCCTTGTAAGATATGTGATTTTAACACTGAGAATATTGAATAGATGAATTACCATGCAAAATTAGATATGTTCATAAACTAATGTGCATCCATAAACCATTAGAAAATATACTTTTCTATGCCTAATGTTATACGACTATTAACTCATTATAAAAATCTTCCATTCTCATATAATTTAAATAGATTGTAATGTATTCACTATGTGAACTCACTAATTGCCGCTTGATTGCATTGATGATCCGTACTCTTGTGTATTAGTAAGCATTTGAGTGATGTGTCAAATGCCTACTATGTATATAAGAGTACGGATCATTTTACAAAGTCATCTTTTATCCCCATTCACAGAATAAGTCTGCATATATTACGTTGAAATTCTGATCATGGCTGGCACCCAGGTAGGTCCAAATGTAGCCAAATTAAATGCATTTGTGAGAAAAACAATAAAATTGCACGAAATGATGCACTAACATTTTGATAGGCATATGTTTGGTGATGAATGGGTTGAATACTATGTTAATATTATGTATTACTTTCTCTCGTCTGTGTTTTTCTTCTTTACTTATCCCATCTGTTGGTGCTATATCTCCCACAATGCACTCTGCCATATCATGTACTAAAGCTAATTTCATACAACTGGGAAATACACATAAATATACATAAATAGTTTATATCATTTAATATTTAACTGGAAATTGTAAAATTAATTTGAAATTACCAGAAAATGCGTTAATGGGGGACATTTATATCAAATGCATCATGGTAGGCCCAATTTATACTACAGGCACCATGGTAGGGCCAATTTATACCACAGGCACCACGATAGGGCGAATTAATACAATAGACACAATGGTAGGCCCAATTTATACTACAGGCACCATGGTGGGGCCAATTTATACCATGAGCACTCAGATTTATATCATGGGCATCTGAGTATAGTTAAATTTACAGCATGGCACTCACCATAGGCAATGGGTGGCACCCTGGTAAGCTCAATTTACAGCATGGCACTCACATAGGCAATGGGTGGCACCCTGGTAGGCTCAATTTACAGCATGGCACTCACATAGGCAATGGGTGGCATCCTGGTAAGCTCAATTTACAGCATGGCACTCACATAGGCAATGGGTGGCACCCTGGTAAGCTCAATTTACAGCATGGCACTCACATAGGCAATGGGTATCACCCTGGTAAGCTCAATTTACAGCATGGCACTCACATAGGCAATGGGTAGCACTCTGGTAGGCTCAATTTACAGCATGGCACTCACATAGGCAATGGGTGGCATCCTGGTAAGCTCAATTTACAGCATGGCACTCACATAGGCAATGGGTGGCACCCTGGTAGG